GTATCTTCCTTATAGCCACTGCAAATAATGGAACTTGTTATATTTTCATCTGTATCAGTCAACAGAAAATAGTTTTTTTCTTCTAAACTAGACTGATTCAGCTGGATTAACAAAGGCAGAAGAACCAATATCTGCATACAGATGTTATTTCCAAATTTATATCCAGCCTTTTCTCCAGCAATAATAGTTGTGTATACAACATTCCCTCTTCTATTTTTTCCCCATAGGCTTAACCTGTGAGGTAAAGTGGCCTGAAAGAGAGTGGCTGGCCTAAAGTCACCACATGAACTTCCAAAGATGAGTGTCTACTTGAATTTGGGTTTTCCCAACTTTAGTTTAATCTCTTTGGAGGATTATTATTTTTCTATCACTGGCGCTTTTTCAAGCATGCATGCAATCATATTTCTTGGCTAGAGAATGCATTTGAAATGGAAAGCAGAGCTAGATGTAAACCCTGCCATCAAACCTACTGCATCAATCCAATTAGTATGGTGAAGTCCGTGTAATTTTTTTGTCAAACCCACGTTGACAAAAGATCAACCTCCCTTAAGCAGTATAAAAGAAAAACAAACTGACAAGTAACAGAATTCCCCCCACCACCAAAGCAGCATTCTGCTGCAGTTACACCACTAATAGCAGCAAATGAAAAAACGAAACCTGAAGATGTAGCATAGCCGCCCCGAGCCCCGCCTAAAGCCTTCAGCCTACACTGCTGAAATAAATATTAAATCGCGATCTTTTCGATATCCTGCAGAAATCTAGAATTTGAATTAACCAGCCAAGAAAACCCTCGTGCTAGTTAAGAAAGGAGAGAGGCAGAATCCACAAAATTGGGGAAAGACCCCATGTGACAATGTACCCCCCCCCATATGGACTCTCGGAACCAAGGTACCACCAGGCCTGCTTCTGATAACCCAGAATCCCGTCGGGGAAGCCAGGGATAAGCCAGCATTGAACCCCCCACTCACCCACCCATCCACGTTCCCTAAAATCCCGGTTCTGTCCGGCTATCGCTCCACAGCACGCGAGAGGATCTCCCCACATCTCCTTTTCTCGCTCCCCCCCCGGGATTCCTCCTTTCGCGCACCCACCCGACGCGCGTTTTTTCCCCCGTCTCCCTTCAACCCCACAACGACCCTCCCTCACCATCTTTGCAGAGTCACCGGCGGCTGCTTCCTTCCGCGGGCTCCAGGTGACGAGAGCGCGCGTTGACGTCAAATACGCCCGCCCCGACGTACACGAAATTATCGCGCGACGGAGGAAGAAAGTAGGGTTGGGAATGAGTTCGGAGGCGAGGGGGGGCGGGGCTTGGAAAGCTCTTCTACCCGCCAATAGGAGGCGGCCGCTTGAGGGCAGAAAGTTGTTTTCTAGTGTGCTGTGTTTATTCTCACTTTGTTTACGGGTTGGGAAGTTAAGCGTCTCGACTTTACAAATTATTGCAGTTATTATTAGGTGGTTTCTATTTCTGATAGTCCTGCTGGGACGTTTTCTCACAGTTGCAGCCCCTGGAAGGTCAAAATAAAAGTGGGGAGGAAAAAGTACCTTAAAAGAGTTGCATTATCTTTTTTTGTTGTTGTTTAATGATATGGCTATGGTTTCCCTAGTTGCAATATATGGCTGTGAAGGTTGGACCATAAGAAAAAATTGAGGCCTTTGAACTGGTCCTAGAAAAGACTCCTGCGAGTCCCTTGGACTGCAAGGTGATCAAACCGGTCAGTCCTGGAGAAGATCAACCCTGACTGCTCTTTAGAAGGCCAGATCCTGAAGATGAAACTCAAATACTTTGGCCGCCTATTGAGAAGGAAGGACTCACTGGAGAAGAACCTAATGCTGGGAAAGATTGAGGGCAAAAGAAGAAGGGGACGATAGAGAATGAGATGGCTGGATGGAATCCCCGAAGCAGTCA